GATTATTTTAGTGCAGATGTCTCGCGTGAGACTTTATCATTGACCTCTTTAGCGGCATTATCAAAAGGTTCATCCGTTAATCTCGAAAAAGCCTTAACCTTGCAAACACGTTTAGGTGGTCATCTTGTCAGTGGTCATGTGGATGGGTTAGCAACGGTTGAATCACGTCATGCAGATGGGCGTTCGGAACGTTTTCGTATCAATGCTCCTGCTGAGTTAGCTAAGTATATTGCTGCAAAAGGTTCGATTACCATTGATGGCGTTAGTCTGACGGTTAATAAGGTAGAAGGTGCGAGTTTTGAGCTAAATATCGTTCCGCATACCTTAGTTGAAACGGTCAATTGGTCGCTATCAAGTAGGGACAAAAGTAAATTTAGAGGTGGATGTGGTCGCGCGTTATTTGGAGCGTTTACTGTTGGGGGAGAAAGCGGCTGAAGCTGCGAAAGAAAAAGACAACATAAACCATGCGTTCTTAGCCAAACATGGTTTTTATAAGGTCTAAACTCTGTCCACATTATTAATGTTACGAGGGAAATACTAAGTATGAAATTCAATGCTATAGAAGAAATTATTGAAGATATTTCACAAGGCAAGATGGTCATTATCGTCGACGATGAAGACCGTGAAAACGAAGGTGATTTCTTAATGGCCGCATCAAAAGTTAGGCCAGAAGATATTAATTTCATGGTAACGCATGGACGTGGCCTAGTCTGCCTAACGCTTCGCTCAGAACGTTGCCAACAATTAAACCTGCCCTTGATGATCACTGAAACGGATTCTTCTCATGGTACAAACTTTACCGTTTCTATCGAAGCGGCAGAAGGTGTAACAACGGGAATATCGGCTTACGATCGCGCTTTAACGGTACGTGCAGCCGTAGCTCCCGATGCCTCACCAAAAGATATTGAACAGCCAGGCCATATATTTCCACTAAAAGCACAAGCGGGTGGTGTACTAACTAGAGCTGGGCATACTGAGGCAGGGTGCGATTTAGCTCAGTTGGCAGGTTTAGAGCCAGCGGCATTGATCGTTGAAATTTTAAATGAAGATGGTTCAATGGCACGTCGTGATGATTTGGTGAAAAT